TCAGATGCCTGCTTGGTGTGTTTTGACTGTGCAGGTAGGCAAGAGTAGTTCCGGGGACAAGGACCCCTGTGGGCTGAGTTTACAGAAAGAATTAGTCAAAAAGCCCACTAACAGAAGTATACCCTCTTTATCAAACTTTAAAGGGAACAACTTGTTGTGAATGATGGATAAATGAAAAAAACAAACAAAAAACACCTTTCCCAGTGCTCAGAGAATACAGGCGGCAATGTATTCTCAGCTGATGTTTGCTTTCCTGTAGCAGGTGATAGGTTACTTGTTGCAGCTTGAAGAGGGCTCCTGGATAAACTGGAGTAAGCTAGCTGGAAATAATATGGAACCGTGCAGAGCCATGTCTTTGATAGCATTTCTTCCACTTTATTTGGCACAGCGCTCGGTTGCAATGGTTCTGTCTTCAGTGTATTACAGACTCACACTGTTTCCTATCACAGGTTTCAGAGTAACAGCCGTGTTAGTCTGTCTTCGCAAAAAGAAAAGGAGGACTTGTGGCACCTTAGAGACTAACCAATTTATTTGAGCATGAGCTTTCGTGAGCTAGAGCTCTAGCTCACGAAAGCTCATGCTCAAATAAATTGGTTAGTCTCTAAGGTGCCACACGTCCTCCTTTTCTTTTTCCTATCACATTGTCTCTTTAAAAGTTGCACATGCAGAGACTAACTCTAATAAATTTTTTTTTACCCAAGGATGCTTACACTCTTTCTCTCTCTCTCTCCTCTGACAGACAGTTCGGCTAAACACATGTAAAAGGAGGACCAAGGGGTGGAGTTACTGATTCCTACTTCTCTTAGAAAGGACATGTCCTGTCAGCCGCAGAATCATTACTAGTCAGTGTTGAGCAGTCACTGTTGTGTTTGGCTGTTTGCTGAGGGTTGCAATTGTTATCTGGTAGCAGAAGGATGGTGTAACCTTGTTAAACATAAATTGTTTTACCATGGAAACTCCAGGAACAGACGGAGGACACATCAACTTTGCTTTCTATGTCAAAATATTGCTAACCAGCCCCTTTTAGTATTCCAATTAAACAATTCCCCTCTTCCCCCCCTCCACACACAACCACAACGTTAACTGTTGTTCCTTCTCTAAATTTCTTCAAGGCAGGGACTGTGTCTAAAGTGGCGTGTAAACTTACATTGCTAAAAATAATTTTAATGATTTAGGGCCTGAACCAAATTCCATTGAAACTCCCATTGACTTCTGTAAGTTTTGGACCAGAACCACATGTCCCACTGTTGTCATTACAGTTGCCAGATATAATAAAATGGGCTAGATCACAGCTGGCAGTGAGTGGGTGTGGGAACAGGTGCAAGGATCCCCTTGTGAAGCCCAACTGAGTAAAGATAGTCACAATCCTTGTTGTTGCAGTCTCTGATTTCAAAGCTCTGTGTACACTGAGAGAGACAGAGGCATAGGCACACACCCCCTTCATGTAGTTGTGTCTTACTACAGCACAACAATGCCCAGAGAAGCCCACATTTACAAATTACATAGAAAGTCTCCAAGAAAAAGAAGTTGAGGGTGCTCAGATCACCCTTTCCTCCAGTTATCTCTCAAGACCCCATTCTGCAAAAAATAAGGCACTCATGGGTCCTTGACACACGATTTTGCCGTGAATGTTGGATTCAGCATTTCCACTGTCCTCCACATTTAGAGGACTTTGTTATAGGAGTGCTTTTCTGATAGCAGATTTTGAATGCCCATAAAGTCTTGCACTTCTATTTCCTTTATGTCTACCTACCTCTAAATATGAGTGGGTGGGAGATTATGGGTATGTGTTTGTCAGTTATGAGTTCGCGGTGACCTAAATGAAATCAACATAAACTTTTATATGATTTTTGCTGAGATTTGAGACTAGTTGCCTTAGCCAAAAACAGTGAATCAGCTTGTGATCCCAGGAACTCGTATTTAGATGCAGTAATGACATCTGTTGATATGGTAATTGCACCACTGATGAATGCCACCCTGTATGCATCTCCAAGTACATAGAGTAGAATATCTAACATTTCCCTGTTTGATCACCTCTCTCTCTTTTCCCTGAACAGTTTTTACTATTCTATCTGCTGTTTTTCCAGAAATGGTTTCTGATGCTAAACTTAAAGAAAGGAAGCATTTATTCTGGACATTGCCAGAAAATTCTTACCAATAAAGACACTCTTGAGTAGAGGGGAGAAAATCAACTAGAGGTGGTATAGAAGCACCATCAGTGCAGATATCTGACAACAGGATAGACAAGACAATAGTGGGAATGATCTGTGGTCCAGAGTTATCTTGTAAAGTGCAACGATTCAGACCAGATAACCCAAGTTGCCATGGTCATGGTCTACCATCAATCTGTATGGAGAATTTCCATCGATGCCAATAGGAATTCTGCACATACCTCAAGGGAGAATATGTCCCAGCATAAGATGTAGCCATTTTATACAAATTATATCTTAGGTGTGCCACTGCCTTAGATCTTGCTCTTGAATTCATGCTCTTCTTTTACTTTTCAAAATTCGAACTGATTTCTTATGGGGTTTTTTAATACCAAAAGGTACGATGCCTTATATAAAAAGAAAAGGAGTACTTGTGGCACCTTAGAGACTAACCAATTTATTTGAGCATAAGCTTTCGTGAGCATCCGATGAAGTGAGCTGTAGCTCACGAAAGCTTATGCTCAAATAAATCGGTTAGTCTCTAAGGTGCCACAAGTACTCCTTTTCTTTTTGCGAATACAGACTACGACTTTCTTTTTGCGAATACGGCTGTTACTCTGATTCCTTATATATAAATGTTGGAATAATTCTCAACAGATCAGACATTATATAGTTTAGTGATAGCTCAGAAATCACTTTTAAAAGATTTGGGGCTTTCTTTTCTCTTTTCTTTTCTTTTGCTACACTGTAAAAAAAGTGCTAAAATATATTAAATCCCTTCTCTAACAACAAATTTGTATTGCATATTAAGTTTTGTTCTGACACATGATTTACAATAGCATCAATATAAACCCCTGTCAATAGCAATTTATAATGCAAACAACAAAAGTAATTTAGCTATGAAGTCTGTGTTGCTTTTTTAATTCCCTGTAGTTAGATGCTTATTCATTTCATGCTTTAACAGTTTGAAGCTTGCTTCTTTGTTGTATAGGTCTGAAGTTTTCTTTAGGTGCCTAGCCAGTTATTTGAATGGCAGTGGAGTAGTGGCATACTAAAAATGTCTAATTCAATTTGACCTATTAAAGAAGCAAAGGATTAGTCTAACATCTGGTTTAAAATGATAGATAAAACAAAACCAGCACCTTGATCCTCACACCTATACTTCTGTATATGAAGCTACTTTAGGTAGCTTTTTCAATTTGGTATTAACTTGTTTTACTGAGTGCATTCTATTGCAGTCCTGAGTTCCCCATTTGAAAATGTATTTGGAGAAAGAGTTTGGGAAATTCAGGCCAAACTAAGCACATCCACTTGTGAATTGGACTTTTTATATACATGTATTCCCTTTTATGAGAATATAGCTTTGTTAATGGTTCAATAATTAAAGGAGTTTTCATTTTAAAGACTTCAGTTTTTAATTGGGTGAATATTAATCACAGATTACTTCATTTCTGTTGTGATATGGAAATCACTGATGTCAGATGCATTTGTGTTCAGGTATCAGTCTATCCGCTTAATGCAAAATAACATTCTACAATTGTTTCAATTAGATACAGTCAGCCTTCAGAGCATACTGTTTATTTCATTTCCATAAATGAAGAAATTCTGTTGCTCATTTAAAAATCTCTGATTTTTACTGCCCAGAACTCTCACTCCCACCTGGAATGTGGGCAATACTTGTATATACAGGTTTCAGACTATACATATACAGTTTTCTCTCTCCTACTGAATCCTGTTAACATTTGTAGCAAAGGCAAAACCGTTCAACTCTCTTGATAAGATCACATTTGGTGAACTGATTCCTCTGCCTTAGAGAGCTGTGTCCCATTGTTTGCGGTATTCATTACCACTTGCAATGATATTATAAAATGTAAAGTAAATGGGAGTTCCTAATAGCATCAGAGGGAGGCTTTTTTCATCATGCTGCAGCTGTAACCTAGACAGAGGAAGAATTTCAGCTAACTAAGGAAGAATGAGCTACCCAAATATCGGTGTTGTCTCAGGGAAGGGTAGGCTGGGGTTTCCTTAAAGCAATGCTGTTTCATAACCGTCTTTACTTTAAGTGCATCAACTGTTACCATTGCTTCCCACCCAATTTGAACCTCTAGGTTGTTTAACGGGAGGGGGGGGGGATTAAATCGTCAGAGAAGATGCAGGGGGAAGACTTTGTATATTTTATTTGCTCCTTTGCAAAATGTGATGCAAGTTGGTGCTGAACTGGCGTGATGCCCACTTCGTGGCTAGCTTGGAGATGCAGAACAGCCCACAAAGGACAGCAGGGGCCACCCAAAGCCCCAGCAATACCTGGGGAAGGTTGCTTCACTCTTAGCGAACCCCCCCCCCCCCGGCCCCTAACCCCTTGCAGCACGGGCAGGCAGGGGGAGGTGGAATGACGCTAGACCCTTCCTTGTTGCCTCGAAACTCGGCTCCAAAGCGGCACGGTGAAGGGTCGCTGTGTTTGTTTTACTCTGAGCGCTGTTTTCTCGGTCTGCGAGGGGGGCATCGCTGGGCGAAAGGTGCAGTACCCTGCAGTCCCAGCCCAAGAGGGGGATCGAGGCCGCGGGGGGCAGCTATGCATCGGTTGGTTGGCTTGAGTCGTTCGTTTTCCGTGGCACGCTGGTCTCTTGGATCCCCGTCTCGCTCTCCTTCGTTTCCTCTGGCTTCCCCGTCCCTCTGAACAGCGCCCGTGTGTGTGTGTGTGTGTGTGTGTGTTTCTGCATGCAAGGGATGGGTGAGAGCTCTGTGTGTGTGTGTGTGTGTGTGTGAGATGTTCTGTATGTGTGGACAGGGAAATCTCAGGGTCTGTGTGGAAGGGGAAATCTCTCTCTGTATACAGGGTAATGTGTGTGTGCGTGCCACTCCGTGTGTGTGTGTGTGTGTGTAGGGCTAGTCTGTGTCACTGAGTGTATTTCCGTTGCTCTGGGTCTACAGGGGTAATAACCGCTGTGTGTGTGTGTGTGTTGGGGGAGGGGGGCAGTCACCTCGCTGTGTGTGTCTCTCGCTGTGTTGCTCGTGTGTGTGTGTGTCTCCCCCCCGTGTGTGTGTGTGTCTCCCCCCCTGTGTGTGTGTGTGTGTGTTGGGGGAGGGGGGCAGTCACCTCGCTGTGTGTGTCTCTCGCTGTGTTGCTCGTGTGTGTGTGTGTCTCCCCCCCCGTGTGTGTGTGTGTCTCCCCCCCCGTGTGTGTGTGTGTCTCCCCCCCCGTGTGTGTGTGTGTGCGCGCGCGGAGCAGCAGAAGTCCAGATCACGTAGAGACACTCGCAGAAACTGCAGAGCAGAGAGCAGCGCAGCCGGAGATGGAGCCGGGTGGCAAAGGTAAGGCAGGAAGGTGCCGCTCCGCCCGGGCTGGGAGATCCGGCGCCGGACAGCACCTCGCTCCCGGGGCCAGCAGGGACGCGTGTGTTCGTTTGTTTCCCGGTGTGCGGCTTTTATCGGATTTATTGCGGAGGCTTCCCACTGCGGGAGGCGGCTGAGGGCTCCCTCCGGCAGCCTGATCCCCGGCCCGGTCGCCTCTCCCTGCAAGCCGGCGCCGGCTGCCCGGGGTCAATGGCACCAAGTTCCCCGGCGCTCGCTCGCCGCCCCGCTTTTCCGCCGGCTTCCCCTCGGGGCTGTGGGGCTGGGATGGGGGCGAGCCATGGGCCGCGGGGGGAAGGGGGCTTTGCAAAGGTGCCGCCGGGGGTGGGGTGGGGGGCGTGGGGGGTTGTGCATTGTTGCAAAAGGGGGCTGGCTCGGGGGGGCGGGGGGGGAGAGCCGGGCTCCGCTCCCCGCCCCCCTCCCCAGCCTGCAGCCCCACACGGGGACAGGGCGCCCACGACCGAGCGCTGGAGCCGGCACCAGCCGAGCCGCTCGGCTGCGGCCACCGTGTTGCGGCAAAACATTGCGGAATCGCCCCCCCCCCCCATCGTCCCGCACCCTCCACCCCCGGCGGAGGTACCGCCCGGGGCTCGCTGCTGGGGGGAGCCCGGGGTACCAGCGTGGCCGGGGGCGGAGACCCGCACGCACCGGGCGCTGCAGACGAGCCCCGGGCAGGGAGCCGCCACAGCCGGCTGCGGGGTGGGGAGCGGCCGTGGGAAGACTCCGGAAAGCGACAGCACATGGGGGTCGGCTCTGCCCGCTGGATCCCCACCCCCAGCTCCCCTTTCCCCCCTCCCTCCCCCCTGGCCCAGCGCCCTCAAAATTCCCTGCCCCCTCCAACTTCCCCCTTCTTTCCATCTCCCTCTTGCTTCCTACCTTTCCCCCGCTCCCTCTGTCCTGCACCCGCCTCCCTCGTGTCCTTCTGTCCCTCCTTTCTGCCCCCCCTTGGCCCTCCGCTGCCTTCCCTTCCAGCGCGATCCCCTCCTCGCTCGCATCTCGCGGCTGGCTCCTGCTTCCCCTTTCCATTCAGTGGCTCCCAGCCCTTCCAGCTCGCTTCCTCCCGGCCGAGGGGACTCGGCTGGGGCTGCTTTACAAAATCCCCACCAGCCCCTAACCCCCGAGAAAAGACAGCGGCTCCAGCTCTCGGAGTGGAAAATGGCAGCTAAAGATGACCTGGCTACAGGAGAGGGGCTCTTGCAAGCTACCTTCATGTCAGGGACCAGGGCACGTGAGCTCAGTTTCTTCCATCAAAGTTGCTGTAAGGTTTTGGTGATGTCACGCTGGCGGATTGCGACTTTGCCTTGCTCTGCCAATCAGGGTATTGGTTTTGGGACTGGGGCTGCAAGTCTGTAGATGGTCCTGACACATTCCTCTATCATTAGCATAGAGCTGGTCATCCTGATTCATGGATAGTGCATTGTCTCTCTACGCCCGCCTGAGAGTATGTTACTTACAATACCTTTAATAAGCACAGTCGGGATGTTTCTGTGTGAGATACCATTGTATAGAGGCACTGCGCTTTTCCCTCACATCTTTATTTTATCTATTGCCTTATCTCAACCCACATGTGTGTAACATCCTTTCCATCTCTGGCGACGTATGTACAGTAACAGAATTGGAGATAGTTCATATGAGTAAAATATTAAGCCTGCTTTGCTTATTTTACTTTGTTAGTTATGCACGTTTGTCATGTACAGGAGATATGTTATAGGCCCACATATATTTGTGTGTGTGTCTACAGGTTCACATTCGATATCTGAAATTATTTTGTGGGGTTGTTGAAAAAAAAAACACCTTTCATTTTACTTTACATTTGCTGTTTATACTTTATCTGTAATACTAGCCAGGTACAGTAGCTCAGTAAAGTACAATATTAACCCAAATGACTTTTTGGAACAATGACAACTGAAAAATATTTTCTTTTCTTTTTTGTCCCTGTCTTTCTTCTTTAGATTCTGTATCTTTATTCAGGAGCATAAGGTGGCTTGCTGATCACACGAAGATGTTGCTGTGGCTCGTTCTGGTTTTGTCAACTCGAGTTTCTTCTACAAATGCAGGTCCTGACATCTCGGTGGAAATTTGCAATGTTTGCTCGTGCGTGTCAGTTGAGAATGTGCTGTATGTCAATTGCGAGAAGGTTGCAGTCTACCGACCAAATCAGCTCAAACCACCTTGGTCTAATTTTTACCACCTTAATTTTCAAAACAACCTACTGATCATTCTGTATCCAAACACATTTCTTAACTTTACACATGCAGTGTCCCTGCAGCTGGGTAACAATAAATTGCAGAACATTGAGGGAGGAGCATTCCTCGGGCTCAGTGCATTAAAACAGTTGCACTTGAACAACAATGAATTAAAGATTCTCCGAGCTGACACTTTCCTTGGCATAGAGAACTTGGAGTATCTCCAAGCTGACTACAATTTAATCAAGTATATTGAACGGGGAGCCTTCAATAAGCTTCACAAGCTGAAAGTCCTCATCCTTAATGACAATCTGATTTCATTCCTGCCCGATAATATTTTTCGATTCGCTTCTCTAACCCATCTGGATATACGAGGGAATCGAATACAGAAGCTTCCCTACATTGGAGTTCTGGAACACATTGGTCGAGTTGTCGAACTGCAGCTGGAAGATAACCCTTGGAATTGTACCTGTGATTTGTTGCCTTTGAAAGCCTGGCTGGAGAATATGCCCTATAACATTTACATTGGAGAAGCTATCTGTGAAACGCCTAGCGACTTGTATGGAAGGCTTTTAAAGGAAACCAATAAACAAGAATTATGCTCCATGGGGACAGGGAGTGATTTTGATGTGCGCATTCTGCCTCCATCCCAGTTGGAGCCTGGTTACAGCACACCTAATGGCCACACTACGCAAACGTCAATGCACAGATTAGTCACCAAGCCTCCAAAAACTACAAATCCTTCCAAGATCTCGGGGATAGTAGCAGGAAAAGCGCTCTCTAATCGCAATCTCAGTCAAATTGTGTCTTACCAGACCAGGGTACCCCCTCTAACTCCTTGCCCAAGCCCATGTGTCTGCAAAACTCATCCTTCTGATTTGGGATTAAGTGTAAACTGCCAAGAAAGAAATATAGAATCATTGGCCGAACTCGTACCAAAACCTTTCAATGCCAAGAAACTGCATGTAAATGGCAATTATATTAAGGATGTGGACACCTCAGATTTCATTGACTTTGAAGGGCTGGATTTACTACATTTAGGCAGTAATCAGATTGCAGCAATCAAAGGGGCGGTTTTCCGCAACCTTACAAATTTACGGAGATTGTATCTTAATGGCAATCAGATCGAGCGGCTGAGTCCAGAAATGTTTGCTGGCCTCCACAATTTGCAATATCTGTATTTGGAATACAACGTTATCAAGGAAATTTTAGCAGGCACATTTGACTTAATGCCAAATTTGCAGTTGCTCTACTTGAACAATAATCTTCTTAGAAGTCTGCCAGCTTATGTTTTTGCTGGTGCTCCACTGGCTAGACTGAATCTGAGGAACAATCATTTCATGTATTTACCTGTAAGTGGCGTTCTTGATCAGCTAAAATCTCTTACACAAATTGATTTGGAAGGTAACCCGTGGGACTGCACGTGCGATTTAGTTGCTTTAAAACTATGGCTGGAAAAACTAAATGAAGGTATTGTGGTGAAGGAATTAAAATGTGAAACACCTGTTCAGTTTGCTAACATTGAACTGAAGTCTCTCAAAAATGAGATCTTATGTCCTAAACTTTTAAACAAGCCATCTGCTCTGTTCACTAGTCCTGTGCCTGCTGTCTCTTTTACTACACCGTTGGGTCCACTTCGAAGTCCTCCTGGTGGCCCAGTTCCGTTGTCCATTCTAATCTTAAGCATACTAGTTGTGCTTATTTTAACAGTGTTTGTTGCTTTTTGCCTTCTTGTCTTTGTGCTTCGGCGCAACAAGAAACCATCAGTAAAGCACGAAGGAATTGGGAACCAAGAGTGCAGTTCCATGCAACTGCAGCTAAGAAAGCACGACCACAAATCAAACAAAAAGGATGGACTAGGCGCAGAGGCCTTCATTCCTCAAACCATTGAGCAGATGAGCAAAAGCCACACTTGTGGCTTAAAAGAATCCGAAACAGGCTTCACATTTGCGGATCCACAAGGGCAAAAAGTCATTCTGAGAAGTATTACCGACAAGGAAAAGGATTTATTGCATGTGGATACCAGAAAAAGACTTAGCACAATTGATGAACTGGATGAGTTGTTTCCTGGGAGGGATTCCAATGTATTTATTCAGAATTTTCTTGAAAGTAAAAAAGAATACAACAGCATAGGGGTCAGTGGCTTTGAAATACGTTATCCAGAGAAACAACAAGACAAAAAAATCAAGAAGTCATTAATAGGTGGTAATCATAGTAAAATTGTGGTAGAGCAAAGAAAGAGTGAATATTTTGAACTGAAAGCTAAACTTCAAGGTTCACCTGACTACCTACAAGTCCTTGAAGAACAAACAGCTTTGAATAAAATATAGGTCATGCAATCTTATTTCTTACAGAGGACATTTATTTAATGATGAAAGTGCCTTTTGTTGACTTTTAACTTCCGAATACTATATTATATTGGTAGGCATAGAGGCAGGTATATCCAAGGGTATCTGTCTGTAGCTGCATATGATTTCTCAAGTAGAGGAGATTTCCATAATAGATTTTACTACATAAAGCTGATACCCTCTGGAATCCTGTAGGGATACTGCAAACTCTATTGCCAAAGGGATGCTTTAGACACATATTACACTGAATTTAACCTCAAAAGGCATATATGTTTTGTACCTTAGATGCAAAACCTTTGTCTCCTTGTGATTTGTAAGAGCAAACACAAGAAAACTGGTACCAGTGTTTGTACCTCAGCTGGGTCCTTCATCTTGCACGTGGATTAAGTTGGTGGAACTGGAGTAATCCTTTGATTTGTGGTGTTGTAGCGGCACTGTTTAAAGATTATCTGAAAAGTAAAAAGCATGCAAAGAGAGAACATTCAATAGTATGTGTAAATCGGTTACATTTATGGCCTGCATCTTGAAACCACTGGATTTATAATGTTAAATTGTGCAAATATTTGTTTAAAATATACCATGCGTAACATACCTATAAAATAAATTTGACCCTTGAAGTATACCTGTCTATACATAAAATTTAAAAAAAAAAAAAGAAAAGAAAAAAAGTGCAACCTGACTTCTGCAGCATTTGTAGTGATATGAAGAAAATACTTGATTTTAATGCAGAATCTTATGTAAGACTCAAATCCAATTAAGACTAGAGTTCCTTCTCAGTTATCTGAAACTCCTACAACCCCAAAAGGTTGACCAAACTTTTCAAAGTGCTTACTGTGTGAGCGTAGCAGAAATTATTTTTGTAAGATAATTCATATTTATGAAATACTTTGTATACTAAATAGGAAAATATGTACTCCGTAATATGTATTTAATATGCCTGACTTGTTTTCCTGATCACAATGCATTAATCATTCAGTATAAATTAAAAACAGAACAATATACCAAACAAAAACCGGTGACAAATTGTATAGAATTATCCGTGATCAGGTATAATAATAATAATAATAATAATAATAATAAAAAATGTTCTGTACTATTCTTGTGAAATTAGTATATTATTATCTTATTTCAGATTTGTTCCCAATGGTGCATTTTAAAATAGATTCATTAGTTTTTTAGTATTGTGTCTCAGGCAATTATTTGCCATCGGTTGTCTTGCTTTTCAGGGTTCTGCAGCTTAATCTAAATAGTTTTCACTACAAGTATTTACAGGTGTTAATGAATAAGGGTAATAGTTGAATTGTATATGCATCAATTTTTTGTCCCAGTTATCTATCTGACTGCTGTCAGTCAGATAATGAACCAGATCAGTAAACCGTATGGCAATCATTTGTCTATCAAAGCCACACTGTAAAATGCATTTAATGGTCTTGGTTCAGTTCAGAGTATTTTGTAGTCCACATCTATAAAGAATACAAACTTGCCTTTGTGAAAGCTGAATCTCAATTGATAGCAACAAATGGTCAAGATGGAAAACACCCCCTTTTTCTCACTGGGAAATGGTAACTTAAGATCACAGTAGGCATGTATTAGTAAAGCATCATACAGAAAATCTATTCTACATGCCTGATTCAGAGCCCATTCAAGACAATAGGGGCTCCTCCACTCATAGAATCATAGAATCATAGAATATCAGGGTTGGAAGGGACCTCAGGAGGTCATCTAGTCCAACCCCCTGCTCAAAGCAGGACCAATCCCCAATTTTTGCCCCAGATCCCTAAATGGCCCCCTCAAGGATGTTAGTGGACTTTGGATCAGGACCTTAATCTATCTTGCTGCCATAAATTTCCCCCCACGCCTTTTAAAATCAATACATAAGTCTATCAAATTGCAACAGAAAATAAACATTAATGTTTTCATGAATTCCAAGTGGCAGCTATTACAACAAAGCCCGATAGCACTACTGTGGTTAAGGCTGTGTCAGCATTTTCCAGTCTAAACCTCTAATTTCAGGGCTTTATAACTCTGCTGTAAAATTTTATTCTGGGATGATCCTTGGCATAATGCCTGGAATATTTTTTAACAAAGTTTTTTAAAAGCATCAGCACGTCTTTATTTTAAAGAGAGAGAGAAGAAAGAGTGAGAGATATTTTCTACTTGTCATTTCAAAAGAGTTTTTTTTTTTTTTTTTTTAATTTCCCCATGGTACAAAATGATTGATGGACTTTAGACTTTTTAAAATAAATAAACAACAGACTGGTTCATCTTTGAAAAAGCTGCTATTACACATGCATACTAATTTATTTAATCCAAAATGTCATTGAGATTTTCTGGATATGATTACTATGCATGCATATATTCCTGGCCTAAAAGATTCCTTATGGCGTGTTTACCCAAATCACTGCACAGGCTCTGAGGAAAGTGTTTTACTTTATTGTGTCAAGGGCCTATGGATTAAGGAATCTTAAAGATGTACTGAAATGCTAGACCATAAAGGCACCATCAGGTATCTGAGGATAATGGGTTGCTGCCTTCTACTCACTGCTACACAGCTTTGAGAATGTGTCAAGGGTCACTGAGATTTGCCAAGGCAGAGAGCCTATGGCTCATAGCCTTCTGTTGAGAGATGTGAATTAAAAAGAATACACAAATCTTTAATACATAAATGCTACATTGTGAGTGTTGTTAAAGGTGATATATTTGTGGTTGATATTGCTCAGATTTAACAGAACAACAGTTAAGTAAATCAGTTTTACTATGATTGATATGCCTCCCGCAACAACATTAATTTGGGTCCGGTCCTCTCCTCTTTCGCCTGGGGAAATCTCCCATTGACTGTTAAAGAGAAGAAGAACTTTACCATTATGCCCACACTGGACAGATCTGGCGACTCTTTTAGGTCCTCCTCCAGCAAAGCATTTAATTACATGCCCAACTTTAATCGTGTGCAATGAGAGTACTCACGAGTTTAAAAGTGAGCACAGGCTTTAGTGTGTTGCTGGATCAGGGCCTAAATGCATGGTACCATTGGCATGGACTTAAATGGGAGCGGGTGCAGGAGCATTGTTGTGTATGACACAGTTCGTCCCTGCTGTAGAACCCTTATTCACCGCGGTGATCGCTTTGCTCCCATGAGTTGTCTGACTGAATTCAACAGGGTCAATGGAATGTATGCTCACCGGTGTCAATAAGGATTGCTCAGTCTGGGCCTTACTGTGTAGGTCTCTCAGTCGTGTTTTACATTCGTGGTGTAATACCGGTGTAATACCTAGGCAGAGCAGTGTGAGTTAAAAAAAAGAAAAAAGAAAAAAAAAGCTTAGGTGGGCAAACCACTATATTTCTTTGATGCTGTTGGTTTAAATGTCAACCTGGATGTTAGTTTACTTCCTCCAGTGTTAAGGGACAGTGTATGTGTCTGGATAACAGTTTAGTGGCATGTTCATTCCGATCTAATGATAGTCTATCCAGGAAAGGCACTCTTCCATGTGGCTCAACAGACCAGGCCAGCCTTTGCATTATATTGATTTGAGTGGCCACATTGTTACAATGGCTGCAATGACATATATGCAGCACTAAAGCAGTGAAGGTGTTAACATAATTTATTGTGTTCATTGTATTATAAGCCAAGTTTACATTTTTAATGAAATCAATAAAGTGTAATCATTTCTTTGAAAGAGAAAAACTTTGTGCAATTTTATCAGAAACCAGTCATTATAATGCAGCAATTTGAGTCCAGGCGTCAACTGACATTTTACATGTAGTTTTCCGGACTGATAGTAAATAAATCTGAAAGATAATCCAAAAGGTAATTTTTAAAGCCATAAGGGTATACATTATAAAAGGCATGGCCTTGTGAATAATGTTAACAAATGTTTCAGAGTTAACAAACACATCTAGAATATCTATCTATAATATTTTTGCATGATTTGTACATTGCTGTTGTATGAAATGAGCACAGTGGAATTTTTTTATTTTTATTTTTTTGTTTTATTTAATTTTATTTTGCATCCAAAGAGTTGGGAAGGAAATATAACAAGAATGTATTGATAATCGCTCTATTTTGAAATAAAGAAAACAAAATGTATTGTTTTTACCCTGCCTTGATCATGACTATTTTTAGATTAGTTTATAAGGAAAATAAAGTTAACTTATAATATCCAGTACAATGTAAAACTCAGAAAAAAATGTTTCAGCGACCTTTGTTTGCTTTCAACAAACATCAAAATATTAGGCAGAATTTATTTAAAAGATTTGTATGGAAAATTAATAAAATTGTTTGGTACAATCATATTTCTGAAACTAGACTTTGTTAAATGTCAAGAACATTCTCTGTGAGTTTGTTTTCAGAAGAGAGAGAAAAGCTGTAAAGTAGTTAGACATTATTTTATATTCATAGATATTAGGGCAAATATTTTAAAATATTTATTAACGTTTATCCCACTATCCAATGTTTAAATCAAATCTGCTTTGCCTTACTCAGCCAAATAGTCTCACTGAAGTCAAATGGGACTGTTTGCATTAGTAACATGAGCAGAACGTAGCCTCTAGTCAGTTTCTGATATCTTCCACATTGAAATGCCTGGAAGAACAGTCATACAATGTCAAGGACATTTGTCTTGACCCTGATCCCCTCTCATTAATCAGTTTGTATCAGACAATTTTGCAAAGGATCAAAATTAATTTATGTTTAATTAATTCCCTACAAACATCCATCCACCTGCCTTTATTATAGTTTAGAAGCATTTGTAGATGAAAGTCAAGAAGAGACCATCAGGTAGTTTAGGCTCCAAATTTAGATTTTGTATTAAAAATGTTTTACAAAATCTTAAAAATCTTCATGTGCAACTAGATTAAACATTCCCCTGGGGTCCTAGATTAAACATGCAGCATGACAGCCGTATATGGGAATCAGAATGAGATACAGACTAAGAAATCAGGACTTAATGCAGATTATTTTTTTTTCAATGTACAAGAGCAGTGAAACCTAAGAAGTGAACCAAAAGCACTAGTGGTGAAAAGTATAGGCCCAGTCATGCAGTCAATGGGAGTTCCTTCTGAGCAATAACTCGAAGCTTAAGCCCTAAAGTAGTTTTTGAAAATTATTTCATTTGTAGTTACGAGAGTGTTATTAATAATATAGATACATACATTTGTTTTCTAAAAATAGAGGCTTGTTAACTTGACAGTGTATCCTTTGTATGTCTTGCATTGGCTGTACTGTATTTTTAACTGCAATGCAAATTTACTAAACACATTTTGCAGTGACTGATACTGTGCTGAAAAATAAAAATACAAAGGCAACTTTCAGGGCTAACATCTTCTCACAGATACACTAGTGTAAATGTAGTGTATCTCCACTGACTTTACTGGAGTTTCCCCAGATTTACCTTGGTGAGCATGAGAGCAAAAATTGGTGCTGTAATTGTGAGGGCTGGACCCAACACCCAATGAAGTCAGTAGGGAGTTTGGTCATTGTTTTTAGTCGGAACGTGATCGGTCCCGAGAATAAAGACAGCATGATCTTGCTTCTGCTGCCATTAACTCAGTCGCAAAGCTATGATTAACTTAATTAAGAGTTGTATTGAATCTAGTATGGGCTTGAGCCAATGCCTATTGAAGACAATGACAAACTTGCATTGATTTACATGTTGTGAGACATTATATAATAATATGGATGACCAAACATGTCAGAGTGCTGTTTTTAATCCCTACATCTAGATGTAGATACCAGTAACCATTTCATCCTAACCCCACTCCTCCTTCCGTGATAAATACGGGCCTGATGTAAAGATCTTTACCTTTTTTTGTGATTTTTTTTCATAGTCATTAATAATATTTAACTCTGTTTCAGATAGTGGCTGAGAGCAGTGCATTTTGAGTACTTTACTATGTGTAAAATATCAATCCTTATTCACTGACTCCAGTGCTATACTGTATTGATTTTTCAATCACTTTATATAAAGTGTGTCGTAAGTTAACACTGAGTAATTTCTCCAAGACACAAACATATATAGGGCAAGGACAAAGAGGCTCATTTTTTGTCTGAGACCCAATTTGTATTGAATATGAATAGTTCAAATATAAGTAGGCAAATCCCAATCAGCTTCAATGGAGACCCTACAGTTTACACTTTCTGAGCAGCTGGTCCTATGGTCCCTGTTTATCCAAAAACAATGAGTGACTTAAGTAGAACTTTGCCAGCCTCTTGCACCAAAACAAACAAATATCTCTAAATGGCTGTCCAAGAGAGTTTCACTTCATTACTGAATCTTATGTGTTGTCCAGAAATGTGTGTCCTCCTACCTCTCAGGGTACCCTTCCACTAAACCCTCTCAGTTTTTATCTTGTTTCTATCCAGTTCTGTACCATTCCGTGTTTGTCTAGAGAATTTCCAAAGAGCCACAGGTTTCACCCACCATCAGCTTGAAAAAATAAGGCAAGTTGTAGTAGACTTGCCTCTGGGTAATTTCAGAGGCCTGTCAGATGATGGATGGTGCAAAAAATGGTGAAAACCAAGTTATGAAAAGAAGATGGTATTAGCTTCCCTTATGGAAGATTCAGTTTGAGCCTCTGACGCCCAAACCATCATAAATTCATGATTTTTGGGCACTATGGATGTTAGGCAGGGCCAGAGTGGCAGTTCAAGATCCTCCACAGATCTTTTATTTGGAAGGGGATTTGTACTGTGGAGGGAGAAGAAGTGATCCAGCCCTTTGAGGCGGCCAAGTCAAACTACAGGCTAAATCACATCCATATGGATCTATTTATAGGATTTACTCCTAGGTTTGGTGCCATTTGTAGGTCAGGAGTACTGGACAAATGTTTATCCTAATATTGCCTTTCTGCATCATATTCATTTCCATATGTGGATATTATTTGTATTTGAGTACCAGGGTGAATTCAGGTTTTGTTTGCCAACATTTTGGAGCGAATGTATTTTTCAGGTGTATTCGCACTCAGAGCTGGACGTGAACCAAAGCCCTATAAATATATCTCAATGGGGAGAGTAACAAAGTGCAGAGCTTTCTGACAGGTTTTGCAGATCACTCAATGCGAGAAACTGCAGGAAACAATGTATTGTACAGCAGATTTCCTTGCTCCCTGGCAGGATTTCATAGACTGAGAGTCCCTATCGGCATGATATTTTTCTTGTCTATCATCTACAAACCACAGACACTAGATCCCAGGTTGCTGGTGGTTATTTTGCAGTGTGTGTTGGTTTGTACCCAAAAATAATTTTGGAGAAAAACAACTCCAGGCCCCTCCTCCCCCCCAAACCCTCATCTATAATGTTCTTTAAATAAAAACAAAACATATCAGATTTACATTTTCCAATAAGGAAATAGAAAAATACACAGGTTTGAAGAATGGCTACACTGGTGGGTAATTACCTATATTTAGAAAGTATTTTGCTAACAGAGAGAAAAACAGGTAGTTGATATTGCTTATAGGTTTCATGCTTTTTCACTTCATGGGCTAAATTCTGCTCTTTGCTACAATCATGCACCCCCTCGTAAACCAGTAGGATTGCATGGGTGCCATTGAAGGTGGTATTTATCTGCATACGTAGGTCTTCATCATCTCTCTTCATTTTGCCTTGAAATTAAATGTGAGGTGCTGAACATTCTCATCTTCTGTTGACTTCAGTGGGAGTTGAAAGCATTCAGCATCTCTCAGGATTGGTCCCTAGGGCCTGATCCTGCAACTGGGGTGAGGGGTAGCAGTGAAATCTGTGGGATTGCTTGTGTGAGTAATAGAGTAGACCTCAGTAACCTGAGTAGAGATTTTTTTCAGGATTAGGCCCATTGTAAAGATGTGTTCTGCCCCTTTAATGGCCAGGCTAGAGTCAGGAACCAAGACAGCCTGAGGTAATGAAGGAGGGGCCAGGCCACTTAAACAATTAAACTATATTCAGTTGTAGTGAGTTCTCTCAGGGGCCAGGAGATTAGACTTACTGGAGTCAGAGACTTTGTTTTGTAAACTTTAAGTTGAGGAGCTCTGAACCTGGGTGCTAAAGTGAGGATTATATAAATTTTTGTTACAATTGCTCCTTCCCTGAGAATTATTGCTCATTTGTTTTGTCTTCTCATCACCCAGATCCTTTTAAAGTGAATGTATTGATGCCCTAGTTGGAAGAAATTAAAGTGGGGCACACTTGCAGTCCCACACTGGGCTGCAAAGGGGTCAGAGGGAATGTGCCTTTTACACCCACAATGAATGGAAATATTCATTTTTAATACTCGCTGGGGCATGGATTCCTTCATAATTTTTGGCTTACTCAACAGTATGTTGCCTCGGATTGTGAAAGATTAGCATCGTAAGGGCCCAGTTTTGCAAACCTCCTTCTTCAAATGACATTTCTGATGTGGAGGTTGTCGACACAGTCACAGCAAAGTTGGAAAACTTCCACTCTCCTTTGGAAACCAGTCCATCTGGTGATGGTTTGCGATGTTTCTCTTTTTCTTCCTCTTCCTGATTTGCCTGAGATCTCGTCTGAGCGCATGAGTGCTGGAATTGGGTTGTTCTGCAGTCGGCGAGCAGTGTATGCAGCAAAAGATGTTATTTTCTTATACAGGTTCCCAAGTAACTGTGATCTTTTTTACAGTAATCCTTCTTATTATCACATTGTTTGTAGTTCTGGTTATCCAGCTAAGTTTTTAAGGTAGGCAGGCCTTACCATTGGGAATAGTCCTGCTGAAGGCTGTCAGACTACACGCTGGGGAAAGAGCTACAGTACGGAGCCCAAGAGTAAGCAGTATGTGGCCAATAGATATTCTCTCAAAGTACACGATGCCTTAAAAAGTAGATATAGAGCAACAACATCATGAGTAATCTACATTTCAAGACCTGTTTTGATTTGATGAAAGTGTCCTTTAAATCAAAAGGAAATACTGCACAGCGAATAGTTTGAATAAGCTCATATTTAAGAGCTGAGTAATGTACTTATCCTGCAATCTTTCTGCAGGCAAACCTTCCATTTAAGCAAGGGAAGGTTTGCCTTCTGGGTAGGCTCCCCAAGGTCAGAGGAGTTTGTAGTGACTGGGGTTACGATGGTGTTATATAGTGTCATAAGTAGGCTTTTGTGATGTCCTCATGAGAATCGCCAGGTCCAGTGGCTAGAGAAATTGACACCAGGAACTCAACGGTTCTAAGCCTGAGTTCTCACACATGCACTCCCTGTTATTAGGGAAAGACATTTAAACGCTCTTCCTCAGTGTCCCCATCTGAAAACAAGGCTAGTGAGGCTTACACATTTAAAAGCTGCGCTTCGGAGGATTCATTTGGGTTTG